AAAAAAGAAAGATCTAAAATCAATCATTTAAGCTCCTATGTTAGGAAACTAGAAAGAAGCAAAATGAACCCAAAACAAGTAAAAGGAAACAAATAAAAGATCAAAAAGCAATGAAATTATATATCTATATCTATATCTATATCTATATCTATATCTATATCTATATATAGAGAGAGACAGACAGAGAGAGAGACAGAGAGAAAGATTTGGTGCTGGGGATCAACCTCACAACCTCTCATGCTTGCCAATCAGGTGCTTATGCTGCTGAGCTAAATCCCCGGCCCTTTCTTTGCATTTATGAATGTAGGTGTATGCCACTACATTTTTCACATAAAAACTTCATGGTAAGGTTTCTATTCTGTACCTTGTTTTTTAACTTGGATTTTATTTATTTGGAATATGAGTATGTCATAATCCAATGGATCAGTCCTATCTTGAAGTTTAGGTGATTTCTAGTCTTGGCATTATAAATTGTGTTTCAGTGAGTATCCTTATATATAAATCCATTTAAATATGAGAGTTTACCTGTAAGGTAAATTGCTAATAGTTAAACTGTTTGATCAAAAGTGTAAGTATTTTTAATTTGGAGGGGTATGGTAGCACACATCTGTAGTCCCAGGACTTGGGAGGCTGAGGCTGGAGGTTTGCTGCCAGCCTGGGCTACCTAGTTGAGTTCAAGGCCACCCTGAAGTACACAGTGAGACCCTGTCTCAAAAAAAGCCTGTATTTTTAGTTTTGGTCTTTAATTTAAATTTTTATTTTTGTGATACTATGGATGAGCCTAGGGTCTCGTAGGCAAGCACCGTACCATCGAGCTATATCTCCACCCCTGTACTTTCAATTTTCTTTTTGGCTATTGTTGTTGATACAGGGCCTTTCTATGTAGGCAAGGTTGGGCTCAAACTTATGGCCTAAGCGCTGGGATTTTAAGTGTGTGCAGCCAAATCCAGCTTGCATTTTCTGTTTACATTTGTTGCAGTGGTGTCCACAGGGGCTATGATGGTGCCTGGTCCTCTCTACCCTTGTTAACAGAGAATATTATTAACTTTTTCTCTTTGAGGCTAAAGACCTCAGGCCTGTAAGTGATGACCATCCTCGGAGAGGTTTCAGATTCGTTACTTTGGAAAGATTCCTCGGGCTGCAGTGAGGATATGAGTTTAGCAGATGTAAAGACTAGAATCATGGGTACCAACTAGGAGGTTTTATGGCTGTCCAGGTAAAATGGCGTTGCCAGCAGCCTAGGGGAGGTAACTGGCAGTGGACACAGAGGGGACTGGATCTGGAGCTAATGAGAAGTGGCTTCAAGGGATCAGCTGGACCTGTTGGCTGGAGAGTGACCAAGTCTCAGTCAGGAGCAGCAGCAGCTGGCTGTGTGTGCGAAGACAGCACGTGCTTTGTAAACATACAGGTCTTAGGTCTGTATCAGTGCCGTCTATATTAACAGATCTATGTCTATGTTAATATCCATCTGAGAATGGCAGGGGTTCAAAGGTGACCCACACCTCGAGTCCTAGGTACTTGGGAGCAGAGGCGGGATGGCCAGTTTGAGGTCAGCCTGTTTCAAAATAAAACGAAAAGGGCTGGGATGTAACCCGGGGGTGGAGCACTTGGCGAGCATGCCTGAGGCCTATGGTTCAATCCCCAATACTACAAAGAAGAAAAAAAAGAGTGTAATAATTACTAATCACTATTTGTTTTCTCCAAGGTATTTAATTTTTTTCCCTTTTTAATAAATTATACATTTTTTCCAGTAGATGTTTGCAGTAAGTAATGATTACATTTATTGTGAGGAGTTGGTACGTGTATATCACATATTTTAATTATTTTCTAAAAATTTTTAAAAAATTTTAAAGAGGACAAAGCCAAGGAAAATAAAACAATAAAACCAATCAAAATAAGCCATTCTAATTGATACAGGATTTCAAAACTTTAAAAACCAATAATTGTTACCATAATGCCTTTTTAGTCTTCAAAATAGCTGCAGATACCTTCAGACATAGTAAAAATCAAACAGAGCAGAATAGAAACAATACAAACAAAACAATGAATGCAATAAAGGACTTCAAAACAAGCCAGCAGAAAATCCAAAATGGCTACCATAATATGTCTTGTTGTCTTTTAAATAACAGCTCATGCCATCAGATTTAACATAATCAAACAAAACAAAAGAGAATAGAACCCAACCCAACAAAACAATGAAAATGATGTGGTTTCCAGGCAGGGATCGCTTCCTGGTGAGGCCTGGTTCTCTCCCTCGGTAGTCTGCAAATGGCCTTTTTTTTTTTAGACAGAGTCTCACTATGTAGCCCAGGCTGGCCTTGAACTCCTGGCGAGCCTCCTGTCTCAGCCTCCTTAGTGATGGAGTTATAGGCTGCACCGCCATGACCCTGGCTTTAATTCATTTTTTGTCTCCTTCCTTTCCTACTTCCTCCAACTTTTGAACTCCTTCCCATTTGGAAAAGCACTATTTTCATTTTTTTCTTCAACTCTCTTTTTTAAGATCCTTTTTCCTTCCCTGCACTCCCCTCGCCATGCCTTGCTCCCCTTCCCATTTGAGAACCACCTCCCTGCTTCCTAGTATCCAGCCTTCATTTTGCTCGGTATTTGCCTTTTGAGTTTCTCATAAAGTGATCATGTGTGTCTGATTTACTTCATGAAACATGGTTTGTTTTTTTTTTTTGTCTTTTTGAAACAGGGTCTCACTATGCAGTTCAGGCTGGCCTTGAGCTCACTTTGTAACCCAGGCTGATCTCGAACTCACAACAATCCTGATCCTCCTGTCTCAGCCTCCTGAGCGTTGGGATTCAGGTGTGCACCACCACGCCTGGCTTCATTTAACACTATGGTCTTGAAGTGCCACTATTTACCTAATAATGCCTCAAGTTTGTCTTTCTTTATGGCAGAGTAGTGCTCCATTGTGTATAAACACCACATTGTCTTTAACCATGAACTCCAAGGCATTTCTACCTGTTAATAGTTTCCTGATTGTCAAAGAAGTTGAAGAACATTTTCATTAAAATTCTTCAGACTTATTCTTAATGTTTATCAAATTTTTCCCGTATGCATAACTATTCAAAATTCCATAATTAGTAAAAAATAAATTCTATACTTAATTTAAATATATTTTAATCATGTATGTTTTAAAGTCTTTCACTGTGTGATATATTTGCCTTGATTTTGGGTGTGGTTCTCATATTTATAAATGTATGTTGTGACTTAGTTTGGGGTTCAAATTTTTGTAATGTGAATTATTTATCTGGTTTATATCTCCTCATATTCTTTTTTTTTTTTGTCTTTTTTCCTTTTTATCAGTACCAGGGACCGAACTCACGACTGCCTGCTTGCAAGGCAGGTGCTTATGCCGCTGAGCTAAATCCCCAGCCCCTATCTCCTCATATTCTTACGATGAGAAATGACAAGTCATTTTTGTTTCCTCACCTTGTAACCAAAAGTCGTATTTCTCAGGGCTTGTCTCTGTCTCATTAAACAGCCTCGGCTTGCTTTGCCACTTTGGGCACTGTCTTTGGTCCCTGTCTCTTGTGAGTGACACCATCCAGTGTCCCCTTGTCACCAATGCCACATTTCTCGTGGCCTCTCATCTTCGTCAGAGGCTCCTGTAACCCCGATGTTCTGAACAGTCCCTCTAACTCGATTTCTGTGGCTGTGTGTTAATATGAGATGGACGTATTTCATCTTGCCAGCAGTTCTTGTGCTGTGACCCCTTGTTTTCCAGTAGTTTCCTCAGGCAGAGCCCACGGGAACAATATTCCTTGCATCCTGGTGACCAAGCCAGTTTTCAGGAGGATTCTTTAGGAACGTGTGTGTCTTTGCTGTATTTTCTGAGATCTGCGCTGCTGGGTGGTTCTGCTTCCTCCCTCGTCTCTGTGGACCTCACCAATCTCCTGCAGGGTCCTCCTTTCTTCTGTGACCTTGTGGGCGTGTGGAGTTGATGGACTCTGCACCTCAGGGTGACTCTTTCGCCTGAAGTGACTGATTTGTGGCCTGTTTGCATCCTTCGGTGATTATCCATTCTCCCCAACAACTCCGTCTCTCCTTAACTTCCCAGGGCCTGTATTTGTCTGCTTTTGGTAGACTTTTATCTTTTCATTTGTATTTTGAGGCTTCAGGTTTCTTTCTTTCTTCCTTTCTTTTTTTTTTTTTTTTTTTTTTTGTCTTTTTTCTTTTTATCGGTACCAGGGATCGAACCCATGACTGCCTGCTTGCAAGGCAGGTGCTTATGCCGCTAAGCTAAATCCCTAGCCCCCTTCCTTTCTTTTTTTAAGACAGGGTCTCAATGTGTACTGCAGGCTGACTTTGAACTCACTGTGTAGCCAAGGCTGGCCTCAAACCCAAATGTATCCCAGGCTGGCCTTGAATTTGAGATGATCCTCCTGCCTCAGCTTCCCAAATGCTGGGATTTTAGGTGTGCACTACCATGCCTGGCTGGGACTGTAAAGGTCCTGGGTTCAATCTCCAGTACCAGAAAAAAAAATTACATTTCATTGATTTCTTGGCATAGGTGCCATTCAGGGTCACATTGGCCTTTTGTGTCAGTGGCATCGTGTTAGTGCCACATCCTCAGTGTGACTGGCGGATGCTGCTGTCAGGACACACTGCATTCCCACCTCATTCCCAATCCCATCCAGAGCGACTGGTGCACCAGTAAAGGACAGACAGGTTGCTCTGGGAGCTGTGCAGTGGTGGTGAGAATAAGGGTCTTTCCAAGAGGCTGGATTCATCCTGGGAGAGGTTGGAAGGGCCAGGGCTGCCCCCAGAGGCTGGATATTCCCTAGTTTGATTCCTGGGATCAGGGACCAGGTTGGATGGCCATGCGGTCCTGGGACTCGATCCTGTGTCTATGCTTCCTAACTTCCTGTAGGCCTGAGAAGCAGGGCTCAGGCTTCCTGCAGAGCATTTGGGGTAAGGTTCAAGGAAGTGGGGTTGCCATACCAGAGGAAGCCTAATGCGCTTGTAGTTAACTCTCCCTCCTGTGTTCCCAGCAGCCCCAGGCAGCCGAGGCTCTGCCCATACCTGCCAGCAGCAGCTCTGGAGGCCAAGGTGTTGTTGAGCCCATGGATACTGAAACCCAGGAGGACAGGAGGACGTTCACTGATGACCAGAGAACCAGAGGCAGGAAGAGTTCACAGATGCAGGTGGCAGGGAGGACAGAGGGAGAGGGGGAACGGATGATGCAGAGGACACAGATGGATGTTGTGACACAGGAAAGTGAGAGGCTGAAGTCAGACAGGAGTTTACAGAAGGATATGCTGATGCAGAGAAGAGAGGAAACCCAGGCAGAAAGGATACCGGAGGATGACAAGACCCAGGAAGACAAGAGGATGCAGGAAGGAAGGGGGACAGAGCCAGAGGGCTGTGTCCCACTGGCCACAGAAGGTCACCCAGGGCTGCAATCTGAAACCCACCTCAGCTCATCGCCCAGAGCTGCAGAGCACCAGCCAGCAGAGGGCCCCAGGTCTGCTGAAATTGCTCAATGTTCAGTACAGACCCCAGAAGCATCTGCTGCCCCAGAGAAACCTGGTTTCACGCTCAGATCCGAGGAGCCAACAATAAGCACCTCCAGGAGCCAGGAAGACACTGTCCTGGGTCCCCTGCCTGTAAGCCTCATGTGCCCAGCACAGCTGCCCCCAGAGGAAATCCCAGGGCCCGGGGGAGGAGAGGGGCATGTGGAGCCGGAGGAGTCAGGCCCAGCCAAGGCCAAGCAGGAAGAACAGCCGAGAGTCGTGCCATATGTGGCCCTAGGTGGCTGTCCCCCCGCTGGCCCAAGCCTGGAGGTGTCCCCTCAACCATGTCTTCCTGAGCCTGGCCTAGCCAATAGCCCACAGGAGGGGCTGCTGAGCACCTCGGCCCATCAGCTCGCAGTCACAGCTGGGGACCAGGCTGGGCTCAGTTCTGTCCCCATCCTGCATCCAGGGCCAGAGCCCCCCATGCAGAGTCCCCTGCCAGAAATTGTGGCCACCAACAGCGAGGGGGCCTGTGCCAAGGAGCCTGTTGTGGAGGAGCGGCCTCCAGCTACCCGGAGCTGTGACCCGGGCCTCATTGATTCCCTGAAAAACTACCTGCTTCTGCTACTGAAGCTCTCCAGCACAGAAACCAGTGGGGCAGTGACCGAGTCTCCGGCAGGGGCTGCAGCAGTGGGTACGACACCATCCCCAGCCCTGGTGCCCACTGTGGAAGTGGCAGGGCTGAGTCCTCGGACATCACGGCGCATTCTGGAGCGTGTGGAGAACAACCACTTGGTGCAGAGCGCACAAACCCTGTTGCTGAGCCCTTGCACCTCGAGGCGGCTCACTGGCCTCCTGGACCAAGAGGTGCAGGCTGGTCGCCAGGCTCTGGCCGTTGCCCAGGCTGCCCGGGGCCCCGGGCCCAGCCCTCTTGCAGTTCCTGCCATCGTGGTGGGGGAGGGCCCCCAGGTGGCCTCAGGGGAGTCCCTTGGGGGGTCTGGCCTCCGGGCATCAGAGAGGAGGGCCCCTAAGCCCTACCAAGAGGAGGCAGTCCCAGAGGAGACTCTGCCGGGGCTCCCTGCAGCTACCCCTGAGGAACTAGCTCTGGGGGCACGTAGGAAGAGATTTGTCCCTAAGGTCAGAGCAGCAGGAGATGGGGAGGTGTCCAAGTCTGAGGAGAGGGAAAGCCCCTCAGTGTCTCCCAGGGGCCCCAGGAAGAACCTGGCTCCAGGGTCCCCTGGAACCCCAGGGCGGGAGAAGCGTTCTCCTACCCAGGGCAGAAAGGCCACACTGGAGGTGCCCCGGGCAGAGCAGGAGCCAGCAGAAGGAGAGCTGGGCCCCAAGGCTGGAGGTCCTGACGCAGAGTCTGCCTTGGATGAAGACACACAGGATGCCCCGGCCAAGCCTCGGAAAGCCAAAGACCTGCTGAAAGGTGAGCCCCAGGGAGGGGGACAGCACTGCTCCCAGCACCACCCACGGGTAACAGGGCCTTCTAAGGGACTTGGCTAAGTGTGGCTGCACATGCCTTTGGGAGGCCAAGGCAGGAGGAGGAGGCAGGAGACTTAGCAAGACTCTGCCTCTAAATAAAAAGGGCTTGGGGGTAGAGCTCCGGGCGAAAGTTCTAGGTTCCAGTACCAGTTTTGAGGAGACCGGAATCAAGCACCACCACGGGGCCAGGCTTCCGTAGCCCCAGCTCCATCACTGTGTCACCCACAGTGCCTCTCTGCAGACTGTCCCACTGCAGTGGGGGGGCTCAGGTTTCTGGAGCTTGGGGTTCAGCAGTGCTCTGGCTCCTCTGTCTCTGCCCTGAGTCCCCCCAGCCTAGCCTGGCTGCGGTGTGGGCCTCTAGCTAAAGATGTGAGCTTTGGAGGTCTGACCTCCAACCTGATCCCAGAAAGACACCCACGTCCTACCAAGGGTCCAGCAGCAGGGGTGTGGCCAGAGAGGCCACAGGTGGCAGACGTGGCTATGGCCCCTTACCCACCTGCTCTCAGCCCCTCAGGTGATCCGGAAGATCCGAGTGGAGCAGTTCCCCGATGCCTCTGGTAGCCTGAAGCTCTGGTGCCAGTTCTTCAACATCCTCAGTGACTCAGTCCTGACTTGGGCCAAGGACCAGCGCCCAGTGGGTGAGGTGGGCAGGAGGTAAGTTGCAAAGCCCTGTTGCCATCTGCCCTGGCAACAATCCCACGCATAGTCTTCCCACCTCAAATTCCTTACCCCACTCAGCCATAGCTCTAGGAGGGGAGCTGTTACTCCCCTCTGCAGGGGGCTACTCTGCAGCCAAGAAAAATGGGGCTCAGAGGAGTCAAGTCACTCACCTGCAGTCACATAGTTAGCTGGTGTCAGCGTCACAAAGCAGGCTGTGTTACCTACGACTACCTCCTCAGGCTCCCAGAACTGGGTTCCACCAGCCTGGAAGAGCCGGGTCAAAGGCCCTGGGGCTGGTGGTGGCCCTCCTGAGAAAGGTGTCCACTCTAGTGCAGGGGATGAGGGGCCAGCGGCCCTGGCCATCGTGCAGGCGGCCCCCATGGACTGTGGTATGTACCGGTGCACCATTTCCAACGAGCATGGCTCAGCCTCCACCGACTTCTGCCTCAGCCCTGAGGGTGAGTGGTTGAGTGGGGGACTCCACCAGGGAGGGGCAGCTGTCTGGGCCTGGCCGGTAGCCTGAAGCCAGCAGCGTCCTTGTCTTTTTCTCCACACAGTGTTGTCTGGGTTCGTCTCCAGGGAAGAAGGTGAAGGTACGTTCCCTTTAGGGGTGAGGGTCCCATACCGGCCTGGTCCTCCTGTCGTGGGGAGGTCATGGGGAGGGCAGAGGAGGAGGGTGGAGGAGAACACCCCAGTGAGTCCTCCTGCCTCGGAGCCCTGAACCTGGTGACGTGACATGACCCCAAGTTTGACAAGCACTGTGGGACCTCAGGTGCCAGAGGAAGGGTCCACCCTGCTGCAAGATCCCACAAAGGCTGCATTCACCCCACCCGCTCACCACCCACCCACTGCCTTGTTCAGTTACCTTGTTCAGTTACCGGTTAAAATGTAATCTCTATCAACTAGACTTCACACTAAAATCTCAGTAGTAATTCTTTCATCTCATCAAATATCCAGGCAGATTTCCCCATCTGCCCCCCTGCTTTATTTGAACCAGGAACAATTAATTGCTTTTGGCTGCTACATCTCTTTAGGTCTCTCTTAATAGCTAACAGTTTCTCTCCCCTTGTTTGCTTTCATTTATTTGCTGATGTCTTTAATGTGTAGAATTTCTTCCACTCTGAATTCTGTTAATCATTTACCCTTGATGATCTTCCACACATGTTTTTCTTATACATTGGTAATTAGGTTGAGAACTTTGATCAGATTCAGGTGTGAGTTTTTTGGGGCAGGAATAACTCACAGGTGTGCTATGTATTTCTTTTGCATCTTATCCAGAGGCACATAAGGTCAAATTGTTTGACTTTACGGTTTTTGTTTTGTTTTTTTTTGAGGCAAGGTCTCATTATGTGGTTCAGGTGGCCTCAAACTCACAATGATCATCCAGCCTCAGCCTCCTGAGTGCTGGGATTTCAGTGTGCACCACCACACCTGGCTTGGATTGTTTCACTTCTGTAACAATGCTAAGGGTGACCCTTGGATTCAGTTAGGTGTTATCTGCATGATCTATCTCTTTTTAAAGTTAAAAAACTATGTGGTGTAGCTCCTTTTGTTATCTAGGAGGTTTAGGAGTCACCAATTATCACTGAAATCTGTTACTTCATTAGGGAGTTACAACACAGCAGAATTTTAATTCTATTGTTTTACCTTCTTCCATTAGCTGAAATTTTTATCTGTATAAAGAAATGTTTATTTGGTTACCTTGATACATACAGAAAATGAAGGCTAAATACTTGCTCCTTTTCCTGTTCTTACCAGATTTAAGAACAATGAGCTCATGTTCTAGTAACCACCAAAGCTGACCAATAAGGTTTATTTCTTTTTGAGGAAAATGTTTTTTTTTTATTTGTTTTGTTTTCAGTTGCCATTATGAACAGGTGGACTTTCAACACATCTGATACGTGCAGTACATTGCAATAATTATTCTTTGTTGCTAGGATTGAGTTTCACTTTTGGCAAAGGGTACCCCATCCAGCTGGCTCCCTGTGTGCTCTGACAAGTTTCCAGTCAAACCTACTCCAGCTATAAAGGAGCTTTTGATTGCTTCTTTATTTCCTGATCTCACAAAAATGTTTCAGATCCATCCTCTACTCTTGTGTGGGGCCTGGGTCCTCTCCTTTCCTTTCCAAATTTATTTTTATTAGTACATTTTCAGTGCATACTATTTATATTCATCGTGGGGAGTTGGTACCAGTACATAATACACCTTAATTCTTTTAAAATTTGAGACAAGTTTTCCCTAAATTGCTAAGTTTCCTAGACTGTACTTGAACTTGTTTTCCTCCTGCCTCAGCCTCCCAGAGTGCTGGGATTACCGGAGTGTACCTCCATGCCCTGCTTCAGCCATGTCTTTGGCTTGCTCTGGTTCCTTTTAGTGATAGTGGTCCTGTGTTTAGAATCCCAGTTTTCCCAGTTTGAACAGCAGGGATGCACAATGCTTCGGGATGGGCCTGAGACTTTCTGTCTCATCAAACACGCTGGTTGAAAGGGAGTCATTCATTCAGTTCGTCAAGAGCCCTAGTTCTAGAACAAAGTAACCCCATTGGCCTCACCTTCACGGAAAGCCAGCCTTCCGTGGACCCTTGCTGAGCCCTTCCTTTGGGATGGGTACCGCATAGGCCCTGTTAGATGAGATGTTGGTCAGCTTGTGCTCATGCTCACTGTTCGGTGGGGGACACAGGTGTGCGCCCAGGGGTGCCTGGGAGCAGGGAGGGGCATGGCCCAGCCTTTGCTGCTCTGTGGACTGCGCACCCTGCTGGCCAGGTGGAAGCTCCCAGTTCCCACCTTTCTCGTGTCCCCTCCAGTTGGAGAAGAGATTGAGATGACCCCCATGGTGTTTGCTAAGGGTCTGGCTGACTCTGGCTGCTGGGGGGACAAGCTCTTTGGGCGGCTGGTGAGCGAGGAGCTTCGAGGGGGTGGACACGGGGGTGGCCTGCGGAAGGCCTCCCAGGCCAAGGTCATCTATGGGCTGGAGCCCATCTTCGAGTCTGGTCGCACGTGTGTCATCAAGGTGTGCAGCCCACTTGTGTTCGGGCCCAGCAGCGAGACCTCCCTCCTGGGCAGAAACTACGATGTCACCATCCAGGTACTGAGCCCCGTCCCCCCATCACCGCCCTCTCCCGCTTCTCCCCTCAGTCAGCCTGGCTCCTGCAGGGAAGCCTGAAGTGGAGGCAGGAGCCATCTCTCACTTCTCTTTAGCATAAAAGTCTCTGGAGAATCTCCAGACATTTAGTCTAGAGAAATTCAGAAAATATGAACATTCAGAAAATTTGAAAATATGACTAGGGGCCCTGGTACTCAGCTATATCTTCAACCCTAAGGAGCTCTGGGGCTGGGGGTGGCCTGGGGCAGGGTCTGTGGAAGGCCTCCCAGGCCAAGGTAAGCTATGGGCTGAAGCCCATCTTCTAGTAGAGCACACATCCAACTTAAGTTGCTCGGTTGCCCAGACTGGACCCAAATTTGCAGTTCTCTTGCTTCAGCCTTCCAGAGTGCTGGGATTACGGGCTATACCACACTGGCTTTAAACTGTATGTTTTTGCAGCGGAAAGCTTTCCCCTACCTCTAGCCCCATCTCTCCTAGAATCCATACTTACATGGGAGACAGATGGAAGGGACTCGGGCTGGAGGATGGCCTGCCCCTCTCCTCAGGGTGGCCACTGGGGCACCGCTACCCAGCACTAGGCTGTAGGATGAAGCCCAGGGAAGGGAGGCAGGAGTCAGCCACGTCCCTCAGGGTTAGCATCCTCCTGGAAGTCTCTCAGCAGGTAGCTGCCCACTTTGAGCCAGGCAGCCAGAGAACTGGGAGCCTCCTTGCTAATTCCATTTGGCTTCCTGTAACCACAGGGTTGCAAGATCCAGAATATGAGCCGGGAGTACTGCAAAATCTTCGCAGCTGAAGCCCGGGCAGCCCCCCACTTTGGGGAGGTGCCAGAGTAAGTATGTGGAAAGGGTCCCATGCAGACAGCAACTCTGCAGCCTCCTGGAGGGCTGGTCCCACAAAATCTAGAAATAGAGACCCCAGGGTGCATGTCCTACTTTAGAAAAGTCTCTGCTCTGGTCATGAGCCCTGCCACCCCAACTCCATGTCCTTCACCCCAAGCTTGCTGATCGTAGCGTTTGGGCACAGCAGTTCCAGGGGCCTGGGGATGTAAGGGGTGGCTTGGTCACTGGGTTAGGACTGGTCAGGTCTCTTCTGCAGATTTTTGTCAGCATCAGCTATAACTGGCAGTTGTTTCCATGTGGAGACCTGAATGCTAACTTGAGCATTTGAGGTAAGACTGGCATTGAGCTGCGGTCTGTGGAACTTGTTCTGCAGTGTCCTTTCTATTTGACATACACTGGCCTCAGCCCTCACCCCTGCCAGGGCCATAGCAGAGTTGGTTCTAATCCCACTGGCCACAGGGAATGGACAGAACAGAGTCAGTGGCCTCCGGTGCCTACCCTGAGTTCAGGAGCTGCTTCCCACCTTGCTGTATTTCAGATTCACAGCCAAGCATGCCATTCCGGGAAAGGGCGCTTGTTTTAGATGCAGGGATATGGGATGGGGTTGGTGGTGAGAGCTCTCAGGGCTACGCTGGCTGCTAACTGCTGGGTGCAACTGTTTAGGATCATCCCTCTCTACCTGATCTACCGGCCTGCCAACACCATCCCATATGCTACCCTGGAGGAGGACCTGGGGGAGTCCCTGCAGAGCTACTGCTCCCGGGAAGGGGGCTGCACAGGGGTGCCAGCTGCACCCAGCAGCTCCGAGGTTGTGCAGAAATGCCAGGCCTTCCAACACTGGCTGTACCAGTGGACAAATGGTAGCTTCCTCGTCACAGACTTGGCAGGTACGTGGGTTTGAGGGTGCATGGGGTGTGGGTACAAAAGTGTGTGGAGGAGACAAAGACACTGTGAAAGCTGTTTCACACTTATTCTCTTTTGCTTTGCACAATAATATGATAGTGCTGATGGGCTGGGGACCAGATGGGTCCCCAGTTAGACCAGGTAGGCTGCATGCAACCCTAACACATACTGGGACCTCAGGCGTCCTGCTGGCAATTGCAGTAGGGTTTAAAGGGCTAGTCCTAGCCTACTTCAAATTAAAAAGGAATTTGTTTCAAAGGACATTATATAGGATCCATGTATTACATTTCAGAATTCACAGCCACCGTTTTCCAAACCCCCCTTCCCTGCAGCTTCACCCTCCCCATCTTTGTTAGACCCCCATCTTTGGTTTTGGAGATGGAACTCAGTACCTCACACCTGGCTGGGGATTTAGCTCAGCGGCATAAGTGCCTGCCTTGCAAGGAGGCAGTTGTGAGTTTGATCCCTGGTACCAATAAAAAAAAAATAACAGTACCTCACACATATTAACATGCGTAATAATTACTGGGTCTAAAACTCCATGTATTGGGGGAGCAGGAGCTAGGGAGCCATCGGCCACCATCAGGCAACTGATGAACTCCTACCATTCATCTTCCCTTCCCTTTCCATTCACCAAGGGCTGGGCTAGGAGTAGCCGATGTCCTCAAGAAGCTGTGGGAAATGAACAGATTCTACCGTGCAGTGGTAACATAGAGAGATTAAGTCGAGGCTCTGTGAGGCTGTCACAAAGAAGGAAACCAAAACTCAGGCAGGTTAGGTCATTTCATATCTCTGGGCTTCTATTCCCTGTCCCTTACTTAGAATGATGTTTTCTCTCCCGTCTCTCAGGATTACATGAGACCGTATTTAGAAAGCTTTCTGCAAGCTGAAGTTTTTTGTGGATGTAAGAGATCATTATTAAGAGATGAATGGAATGTAATATGTGCCAAGAGAAATGATAAAGTAATTAGTATTTATTGCATAATTACTGTGTTTCAGACACTAAGTTAGAATCCTAATGTGTAAGGTGGTTTTCCCAACACCCCTACCAGATAGGCAGCGCTACCTTTTCATTTACAGCTGAGGATTAGAAATAGTAAGTGACTTGCTAAGTTCACACATTCAGAGTGATAGAGCTGAAGTGTGAACCGAGGTCTGTTGGAATCAAAAACATGCCTCCTTCTACGCTGTCACATGATGGTACTCGGCCCAGTTAGCGAGAACCAACTCCCTAGAAAAATGCTGGGCAAATTGAAAATGGGGAAAGAAGATCACAAACCTAATACTGGAAGCTGGGCTGCCCCGGCTGACGAGGGTAGGACATTTCTTCCCTATCACCTCTGCCAGACTATCTGAACTAAAAGATCACACCTGTGGTGCCCACTTGCTGTTGTGAGTCGGGTGGAAGCCAGTCTGCATTTCTGCTGGTCCACCCCTAAGTCACACACTCTCTAGGGACAGACTGCTACTCTGTAAGAGGAAGAAGGGCCAAGTTTACAGTCAGAGGCTGATGCAGCACGCTACTGGTCTGCCCCAGTAGAGGCTCAGGAAGCTGGGGAGCTTGGGCTCTAGGAGCCACAAACATCGAGCATTTTCTCTGGCTCACAGTGACTACTGTGCCTAGCACTCAGTAACACATGAGTGAGTGTGAGCTGCTTGAGCCATTTCTCTGCTTTCAGGGGTTAAATGGAAGATGACTGATGTGCAGATTGCTACCAAGCTGCGAGGGTAAGTGTTTCCTAGGGACCCTAAAGAGTCTTTTCGGGGGTCTCCTTCTAGTTCTCTGTTCCTGAGGTGCCGGCCTGGTGTCAGATAGTCCCACTGATACCCACAGCTGTATGGGAACATTCTTGGGGGCCGGTAATTCCCACCCCCATGTCTCTGACTCCTTGCATTGACCAGCAGCTATGATTAATGCCAAGTAGACATTCTGAGACTACAGCAAACTCTTTGCCTCTCAGATGGGCAAGAGATGAGTGTGCATGCTTGTGAAAGGCCCCATTTGCACACTGAGGACTGGTGAATCCTGTGTGTCAGGGTCTTAATGAGACAAGCTTTAAAACTGGGACTCTGCTGTCTGAGTTAGTACCCTGGGGAGTAGGGAAGGAGGTACCTTGGGCACAGTGCTCTGATGGTTGCCATGCCAAAGCCAGCCCTCAGGGCTCTGCCACCCTAGGTGGGACTCACTCAGCTCTTCCTGTCTGATTGCAGATACCAAGGCCTCAAGGAGAGCTGCTTCCCAACCCTGCTGGACCACTTCACCTCCTCCCACCAGTGTAACACCTACTGCGAGATGCTGGGGCTTACAGCTCTCAAGAGCCCTGAAGCTGCCCACCCCCAGGCCAAGCCCAAAGGCTCCAAGAGTCCATCAGCTGGTAGGAAAGGTGCCCAGCTGAGTCCACAGCCCCAGAAGAAAGGCCCCCCTAGTCCTCAGGGTGCCCGGAGAAGCACGCCAAGCCCTAGGGCCACCTCCCAGACCTTGGAGACAGCTGCTGTCCAGGTATTAGGGCAGCCTCCCTCCCAAGAGAGGAGCTCCAAGACCCATCGGTAGCCCCAGCAGGGGCTGGGGGCCTCCACCCAGAAGCAGACCAACCAGGAAGCAGCTTGAACCAGATGGAGATGTCCTCAGGACGGTGCCAGTAGAGAAGGTGTCCTGAGCAAGCACTGCTTGGGGACCCCTCTGAGCATCTTCTCCTCCGTCAGTGCTTCCTCTGATGACTTTGGCTGTGACACACAGCCACTGGCATCTCCTGGTGCCGTCGTCACCCAGGGTTCCCAGGCCTCAAGCAGGGCCCACCTCCAAGTGTCTGGTGGCCTTGGCCTCTTAGAAGTTTACACGAGCCACTGCTGGAGGCCCCCGAGTCCTCTGCATGTGTTCTCCCCCAACCCTCTCCCCCAATCAGATACGGTGGCCAACGCTGCCGTCTGGGGCCCATGTCATCCTGTCCCCTGCTCCATCCTGGCCTCTTCCTGTTTTCAGGGCTTCAGACTCCTCTGTGGGGTCTGGCTTGCGACTCTCAGGGTGACTTCTTCCAGCTACCTGCTGTATCACCCCAGCTCTCCTGTGCCTAGCCTGTCCTTGGGCCCAGGTGGGCCCAGGGCTCTTGCAGAGCCTGTTGTGTCCCTAAGCATCAGTATCTGATGATGCGTGTTCCTGCATGCTCTCCCCGTCACTGTCGCTCTGGCCCTTACTCCCCTGTTTTGACCCCACAGCCTGCCCTTCCAACTCTGCTTGTCCCTGTGCCCGGGCTTGCCTGGCTCTGGCCTGCACAGTGCCCACCAGTGCCTCTGCCTTACTCCCCCCGGCTCACTTCCCTGCCCGTCCCTGGCTCTCTGCACTTGAGCTCCAGCTGGCATGAGGGGGGTCAGAGGGAGGGAGTTGACTTTGAGGGACCTCATACTCCATCCTGGAAAGAGGGGGTCACACTGAATTTCACGTCCCCCTCACAGAAGGATGGAAGGCTGGGACTCTCCCTTGTGGGGATCTTGGGAAGGACCCAACCCAGTCTCAAGCATAGGAATGGGGAATCCTGTCTCCAACCATTTGTTCTTGATCTTGGGCACCTGTGCTGGGCTTCCCCAGATGAGTTCCTGAGAATTTTCTGTGTAGCACCTGATGCCCTGGGTCCTTTCCCGATGTCCCTCCCTGAGACCTGGCATGGACAGTCTGGAGCTAGCCTGCTCCCCTTGGATTGCAATAAAAGCAGCGACTGTGTTTCCCATTTGTCCTCATCTGGTGTGGTGACAGAGCGGGTTCCTTCTTCCCAGCCAGGCCCAATGAGGGTGTCCCATAGTCCCTGTGCCCCCTGGAATAATGAATCCATATTTTGGCTCCTGGCCTGCAGTTCAGTGTCAGCCTCCTGAAGCCACAGGTAAGATGGTTTGTGCTATTTGCACAGTTGAGCTGGTAGTGTGCACCTTGTCACGGTGTCTGGGGACTTTGTGCCTTAGGAATTGCCCCTCTGTTGGGAAGAGGAACACAAAGGAGGGACCCAGAAAGGAAGAGCAGAGCTGGGGCCTCAGAGGAAGCTCCCACATCCCTTGACACCTCCACCACAGCAGACTGGCCAGAGATAAGAGTGCCAGAACCTGAGCTGGCAGGCGAGGGAGGCAAAGGTATGGGCGTGGCCCAGGAGAGATTGCTTGTCCTTGTGGTGCTTGGGTTTGAAACAACAGAAATGAACTTGGACCAATTTAAGCAAGCAAAGAGGTGCATAGAAGGATATTGGGATAACCTACAGGACCAAAAGAAGAGCGGAACAAGCCAGGCATGGTGGCACACACCTGTAATTCCAGCACCTGGGAGGCTAACACAGGAAGATCAAAACTTTAAGTTGAACCTGGGCAACTTACTGACTTAATAGGATCTTGTCTCAAGATAAAAAATAAAAAAGGGCTGGGGATTGTAGTTCAGTGTAAAGGCCCTGGGTTCAATCCCCAGTATTAAAAAAAAAAAAAAACCAGGTGTGGTGGTGTACCACCTGTAATCTCAGCACTGAGGAGGCTGAGGCAGGAGAATTGCTAGGAGTTCAAGGCCAGCCTGAACTGCATAGTGAAACCCTGTCTCAAAAAGACAAAAAAAGGGTCTGGGATTTAGCTCAGCAGCATAAGTGCCTGCCTTGCAAGCAGGTGGTCGTGAGTTTGATCCCTGGTACTGATAAAAAACGAAAAAGACAAAAAAAAAAAAAAAAAAAAAAAAAGCAAAGCTGAACAATTAGTTTTGGGCAGGGCATCAGCCTGTGTATCTCTAGGTCTTGCTTCCCAACCCCCTGAGCCCTTACTTTGGTCACTGTGGATGCCCTCCACACAAGATTCAAATGCCAGGTAAGAGAAGCTGATCTGGAGCCCAGGACCTCATCAAGAACTGTTTTCAAAGGGTGGGGATTCTTACCAGAAACATGTCAGAGAGAGGAGGGGTAGAGGAGATTTGGTGGGCAAAACAAAAAATAACTATCACACACACACACACACACACACACACACACACATACACACACACTCTTCCCATCTGATGGTATCACAACTCTCCTACTTACAACCAAAATCAAATTCCTGTCTACCTCGGGAATTCAAGGTCTTACTTAAGTACTAAACCCAGGGATAATGACAAGGTTACTGTTTTCCAAAGTCCAGAGTCACTAACCATAAACCTCCTCCAATAGTTGAATCACAAGCCTTTCAGTTATTCTGAAATTCTGCAACCTGTGGATTAACTGGTTAAAATTCAATCAAAATTATGTAACTCAGCAAGAAAGAAAGTCCAGGAAGAGGCTACCAACCATTTCTATGGCCCTTCAGGAGAACTGCTGATTCTGACGAGGGCTTTGGCCTGCTGGAGTTCGGTTCTGAGGCCTAGGCCCTACCTACCAGTCCTGCCTGTGCACCTGACATTTACTACCTGATGTGACAGCACCAGGAAGCCGTCAGGATCCCTTGTCCTTCTCTGTCCTGCCCCTTTTCATGTGGTGGCAATCATACTTTCTCTGAACAAGATTCATCATCATAGCTGAGCCCATACCACTGCCATCTGTCACTCAGAGGAGCCTGAGGTGACCACATGTCCTGGCTTCAGATTCAGTTGCCGAATCACTTTATCTTTGAGGATATGTTTCTTCCCTGGGAACCAAATCTCCACACCCACCGAGCCCAACCCCAGGTAGAGAAAGGCAGTGAGACACCCCGACGCCCTATCCACCTCCATACTGCCCCTGACAGTGCAGAAGCAACAGCGCCACCCTGCTTTCCAGCCAGCCTCTTGGCACAGTGTTTCTGGTGCTGTGGCCAAACTTCCATTTACTGTCCCAGCATCCTACAAGGATGCCCTCTGCACCATCCTGGTTAAATGCAGCGTGTGTGAACAGATACCACAGTTGTGCCTGGGGCATTTGATCATTTACTGGATGACCATGGTGAAACAGGTTGATGGGCCAGGAGAACCAAACTACTGACCCCACTTAGAGTTGGTGGTATAGACCAAGGGAAGCGGGTGGCATGGTGGAGAAGGCATGTGGGAGACCAAGCAATGCACATAAACTGTGGGGCCACTGTGTCCACCTGAGGATGCCTGGCTGTGGATAATAGATCAGACACTGCCATAAGGTGGTGGGACCACCTAGTGGGCCTTAGCCAACCACTCAGGGCCTGTGTGTGTGTGTGTGTGTGTGTGTGTGTGTGTGTGTGTGTGTGTGTATGGGGGTATTATCAAAGGGACAATAGCTACTCTAAGATGGCAAGCCTGCCATCTTGTCACCAGGTTCCCTCACTGTATTTTCTTATCAGGATGACCATGAGCTGTCACAGGTTCATACAATTCACTGATATGTCACCTCAATACCCCTGATCTGGTGGGTTATACAGACCTGGCAGCCTTCCGAGTCAGTACTGGTCTGGTAGCAAGGAGTCTTGCCCACATTAGCAAGGAAATATTTGGGTCTCAACAGCCCCCAGAACTTCACTGAGGGGCAATTGTTTGTGTTTTCATTTGAGTCCTCTGACCCCTGCCTGACTCACAGATGCTGTGTAGAGGCGTCTAGGGAAACCCCACACCCCCATAGAGGCTGGGCAGCAGGACACGGATCCCTTTGCAGGAGGCTATGAGGAAGGCTCACAAGGTTCATCCACCCCAATGTTAAAATAAACTTTTCCTTCAAAGAGATGTTTGAGTATTTGACTTTCTCTTCAGTTAAGGTCTGGAAATCAAGCAGGCCATCTGGACTTGACTTTGGCAGTTTGAGACACACTTGTTGGCACAAGAAGCCTTTGGTTACAGGAATTACCAAATGATGCTTTAGGGGCAACCCGTCCTGTCTTCATTCCTGAGATCCAGCAACCAGCTGACCACAGGTTGAGGGCTGGTTTCTATGCTGTGCCATTGTGGTGACTTCTCAACTTTGGAACTTGGCACATTTCTACTGCAAGGTCAGGGGCCTCAGCTCCATAGCAGCCCTTCCCTCCGGCATCCCAGGCCCAGAGAGAAACCCAGCAGAGCAGTTATCCATCATGGCAAGGAGAGGGCCACCTGCTGGGTCCTACTGAGACGGCAACAGCGTGAGGGACACTCCAAACACAGTGACATCTTCATCATTGTACACAGGACCAATCAGAACTTTGCTATTTTCAATCCTTCATTTGAATTTGGTGCTGTTCACAAGGCCAATTATATTTTTTGGTATAATCTGGTCTAGACCAAGGTTTCACTGATTTGTGCTACCCTAAAGTGGTAAGAAACATACCTGACTGTGAACTTCTACAATGAATATAGACCCTCCAGTGAGACAACTTAGGTATCAAAAAATACAACCTGAACTAAAATTAGGTTCTTTCATCTTCATTAAGTTTCCATAAATGGTCCCTGAATATTTGTTGACAATATGTATTTACTAGTTTACGCAGTTTCTCCTGGGTGCATCTCTTCTTTAGCCAGGGTGGACTCTGGTTCCTGGCAGGAGAGCAGTGATGTGGGCCAGGAAAGAACAGCTTTGCTTTGCCCTGCAAGACAGAGCTCCGACTTCTGTGGCCAAGGAGGCTGTGCCTGCGTACACATGTCCTCTGCGTTTTCTCAGACACCAACCACTCACTCAGAGAGGATCCCACCCTTTTCTGAGACTAGGTGAGACTGCGAATTCACTGGTGGTGATGTTAGCCATTTTGCAGACTCAGTCTCTGGGTTTATTGTTAAACAAACTCAACAGATAGAAGCTGCAAGGGTATTTCTCCACAGCAAATGTCCTGAGTCCCATTCCAAGCTTGAAGAAAGAGGGCTTATTTTATTTCATTTTTTAAAATTTGAGGGTATCAGTCACCTTGGGAAAGCCAGGAAGAGCCACAGACCCATGCCCTCCAGGAAAAGCCCCTGTTCTGTTCATGCCTGCTTGCTATATGACTTGCTTCCCCATTTGACCCACATTTAATCAATATTACCTGAGCAAATATACTTGCAGTCTTAGTGGCTGACCCCAGTTTTGTCCCCTTCATGCCTACCTCGTGATTTCCCATTTTCCCTACCTTGGACCTGCTTTAGCTTGTAGTTTTGCTCTATTAAATTCCTTAGAAAAGGCTGGGTCCTTGGCAACCCACTCAAGACCCCTCTGTCTCTCTCTCAGATGAAGCTTTCTTTCCTCAATATATATATTCTGCTCTTATTTTTTTTAATTTGAGACAGAATCTAAGTTGCTAAGTTGCCCAGGCTAAACTCAAATTTTCAATCCTCCTGCCTCAGCCTTCCTGAGTGCTAGAATTACAGATGTGTACCACCACTCCTGGCTTTTTCCTAGTTTAAGGGAAGGCAAATTATTAGGAAGTTTGGTGGGCTTAGAGCAAATTTATTTTTTTTATTTTTTATTTTTTAAAATTTTATTTAAGGAGAAAAAAAACAGCAGAGAAAGGGTACAAGTTATACAGATTTACAGAAAAAAAATAAACAGTAGGAAATCACTAGTTAATGGATTACATATTGTCATCTTAGAAATAATTGTTCAAGTCACAAAATTAAAGCTTGTAAAGTTGACATTCCAACAATGATACTGCAAACAGTTCTGTTCAATGATCCAATAAAACTCAGTGATATCATTTTCTATCTTATACACTTAAATATACATGCAGTTATATAGTTTAGAGCACTTTCTTTTCCTCTCTTTTGTACAATGACTATTACACATTTTGGGTTTTATTGCTCCCATGGTTCTTATTACTTTTTTGGAAGAGAGTAAAACCAAATGTGACA